GCACCCCTGGAGCCAGTTTGCCACCCATGTGACTGTGCACCAGAACTGGGTGGGACATAGTGTCGAAGGCCTTCTTGAAATCCAAGAAGATGACATCGACTTCCTCCTTCACATCCAAGCTTTTGCTACCTGGTCATAGAAAGAGACCAGGTAAGTCAGGCAGGATCGGCCTGGCACAACCCTGTGTTGGTTACCCCTCAACATCACTTCCCCTGCAGGGCTCTCACAAATGTGGCCCTTGATAATTTTTTCGAAGACCTTCCCCAGGATAGAAGTGAGGCTGACTGTCCTGTAGTTGCCAGGCTCTTCCTTCCTCCCCTTCTTGAAAATAGGGACCACATTGGCCCTTTTTCAGTCCTCAGGGACTTGGCCCAAGCACCAGGAGTCCTCAAACAGCCATGCTAATGGCTCTGCAATGACACCAGCCAATTCCCTCAGCACCTGCGGATGAAGGTCAAGTATCATTTTGCAGCTTGGGAATTCTCACTTAGGTGTGTGTGGCTCCTTCTCAGCCTTTACATCACTGCAACTGCTCTTGTTTCTGAAGCTGCAGCTACTCTCTCCTGAGCCCCAAATGTAATTTTGGACATAAAAAAGGCTGTTTTAACATACAGGAGCTGTGCTTTCTCAGTTGTACCATAAGCCCCTGTCAGATACTGTTTTCATCAATCAACAGGTAAAGTTGCTTGATGGAAACTGTTACTCTATATGACCTGCTTCACATTCACAGGGCAAGTTATCCAGAAGGGAAAAAATCACAGTGGGAACTTGGTTTTCTAGCATTCTCCAGGAAGAAACTTCTTTGTGGCTGGATTACTGAGGCTTATTATTGTTTTTGTGGCTCATTATTGAATGATGAAGTCCTCTAGAAAGACTCCCCTCAATTTTTCAATGGTAACAATTCAACTCTAGAGCTATATGGAACATCTTCCAGACTTCTGAAAAGCAAGACACACACAGAAAGAATTTTAACCAGAGCAAAAATATATGACTATGAGCATATAACTAAGGATTGAGGAATAAATGCTTCAGTCTTAAAAATTATTCAAACCCTGACCAATGCAATGGTCTACAAGAAATCTATGGTAAGCACTGCAGCTTAATTCAGGAAAATATTTAATACACAATTCATTTTAGCTCACTTTGAACAATTTAAAGCTGAGCATAACATAGCTGTGTACAAATGTAATACAGAACTTGTCTCCTGGAGGTAGATGTTTTACAAAGCTGATCTGATGTTACGCAAGAGGTTCTTAAGGAAAGATCCCAACACCCTACAAATGTTTTAGCTATGTTTAACTAAAACAATAGGAGAAAATACTGGAAACATTGATCATGAACTAAGAGAAGGCATGCAGAAATTTTCTGTGATCAAAGGTACATAGTATGAATTCCCAGAATGGGATTTCCATACCTAAAAACTCAGATTTAAGGCCCATAATTTAGCTTGATTTTAGAGAATTTTTTGCTACAGTCGTACATAACTTACAATAATCTATAACAGCAATTGTAAAAAAGAGGTTTTTTTTAGGTGGCTATGGGTTTGATTTGTGAATGACAATTCTGCTAGTAAATAAACAGTAGATTGTTACATGGATCAAATCTAGACTAGATCCAGCTAGTTGAAGAGAAGGAAGTATTAACTGAAGGTACACAACTGAATCAACAAAAAGGAAGGAGGGTGATGTAGTTGTGAACAGAATTGTTGGGAATAAAGGTGTAGCAACTAAAGGCAAAGTGGTTTAGGCAAATAAATGTGGAAAAAAATAAGTAATGACACATTAAGACTGTAACACTGGAACACACTTTTAATAGCTTATGATATAATTGATGGGAGGTTATGTGTACAGTGGATAAGATACTAAAATCTCTAGTACAACCTTTAAGAATATTCATTTAGTGTACCAGTATATGGTTTCAGTTTGTACCTACCAGAAATGTATTCTAGGACTCCAAGTTTGAAACATTCAAGCTATAAAATAAAATCCAAGATGATACAACATCATTTTATGAACTCTCCAAGCAGCTAGACCTTCTCATTCATCATCCATTAAGACAGTCCTAGATGTAGTAATAGATTATACAACATAACAGATGGCAGATGACAAAACAAGAAACAATGGTCTCAAGTTGCAGCAAGGGAAGTTTAGGTTAGATATTGGGAAAAACTCTCTCACTAGGAGGGTAGTAAAACTCTGGAACAGGTTACCCAGAGAGGTTGTGAAATCTCCATCATTGGAAGTTTTCAAGACCTGCACGGAGTTGGACTAAATGACCTCCTGAGGTCATTTCCAACCCTAATTTTCTATGATTCTATGACATGAAGTTCAGATATTAGTGCTACATAGACAGTGATTTGGGGGAAAGTTCTTTGGAAGAAAATAAGTCCAGAACCAATTCTATTCTTCATTTCAAATACCGTTGCATAGTTTTACACACTCATAAAGGCTTCGCAGAAAATGTTTCAGTATCTATAAAAAGAACCAGGGAAACTGGATTCAGAACAGTTTATGGCGAGAACATTTTTTGTATGAATGCAATACTGGAGAACTGTTTATTCAAAGGTTTCAAGGAATCTAGGCTCTCATTTCTTTAAAAGGAAGTTTAGAGTACAGTTTATTAAAGGACAGTTCATCAAGGGATACAGATCTTTGGATGGACAAGAGTGCAAATATATTATAAGGCTATTTATACTAATGCCAATTATAACATAATACCTGGACATAAACTTGTGACAATATGAAGATAGAAGGCCTAAAGCAAGGTTTCCTACCCATTGTTTATACTGAATATGTTTTATAATGCAAAAGGATTAGCAAATATGTTAAATGAATAAATACACTAAAAATCAGTGCTAACTCCCAGCCCTCAGTATCAACTGTATTGTAGAAACCTGTCTGCCTACATGATGGAGAAAGCTTCTGATTCATTCCTTCAAAGTATTATTTTAAATGGCATGGGTAAATCACAGTCACTTTGAAACACACATTGATTGCTACCTGTAGAACCAAAATATCCATAAGCACTGAAGAGTTTAACTAGAATATCCTCAGTCAGCAGTGAGTTTGACAAAATGTCAGTGACAAAAATACACATGACTGTAGTTGTTAAGTATGTAGAGTAAATATGAAAGAGGGTACAAGTGCTAATAGAAATATCAAGAAACATCATTAAAAGAAACATCTTGGATTCTTTCCATTCTAGCTCATCTTTTATTCCTAAATAATTAGTTGCAGTTATAGGGTGCAAAAGGTTTATAGCACACTGGATTTTATTGCTACTTTTCACATATGGCTGGAAGACTGAATAATCTACACATATAAAAAGAGATCTAATTTTACATAAAAATTGGTACCCCTAAAGAGCAACCCTCACATACATCACTCACAGGTAGCTACTTACCATGGATTATCCACTTCCATATTTTTCCAAAGGCAATAAGAGCTCATAGATAAATATTTAAAAATAGTAAAAAAATACAGAAAACCCAAATACTACAAAAATATTTTGTTTGAATCAACAATATTCTTCTGTTGTAAAAAACACCAATACCAGAATCAGTGACTGCTGGCCCTAAAGAATCTTTGATGGAATTATTCCTTGTCTAATTAAGCAAACAGTTCCCAGTCAGAAATGACTTATTAATTTGTTAAAGGTCTCTATCTACCTCCTTTGGAACCCAAATACTATACTTTATAGAATATTATTTTTCAAGAAAAGCATGAAAATCACTAATTTCTTGATTCTGCTAAAAGATTCAGATTGGCATAATATGCCATTCAATCTGTGACCCAAAGGCTGCAGGCTGATAATTCATGATGCTGGCTTTCTTCCTCATTTCCAGCTGCTACATCATATTAAAATCAGCTGAAGACACATTACATTCTTGACAGTACTTTTCCACAGGGGAACTATGTGATTGCAAATGGGTTGGGAGCATCCAGTACAACTACAAGAATTGCAAAGGGGAGGGATGGGGCATAAGAAAATCTTGTTATTAAAATGGAATTTGCAGCATAGAAACATCTGACAATCTCTGTTTTACAGGCATGAAGCCTAACATAGCACATCAGCACATATTAGGGCAGAAAATGGCTGATCATGATTCATAAATACATGCTATTTGAAGTCAGGCACTAAGAATAATCGAAGATAATCCTGCACTTTAGAAAAAAAATGCTTGTGTGCACTTGGGATGAAACCCACAGAAAAAAAACCAGCTCTATTTTATATACAAAATACATAATTTTAATAAGTATATATTTTTGTAATCTTTATACCACCATCAGGTCTTATTATTCTTTCATCTTTTTTTTTTTACTGAAACAAGGACCAGAACAGATTAGTTACTTGATGTGCAAAAGAGCTATTTTTCTGCTTAAATAGCTCATAATGTGACAGACTGTCAAAAAAAAAGCTTAATATAGGTATAAACCTCAATATGGCATATATCTATTATAAAGCAATCTTACCAGAAATCTGGAAAACTTCCATTAAATGTTCTGTCTTGATTCTGACAGTTATCAAGTGCTAAATACTATTAGAATGCAAGCTTCTTTAAATATTCTTTACCCAGTTTAGCCTATACCCAGTTTTTAACATAAATGTCATAAATGAGTTGAGCTATATTAGACTGATTTAGGTAATCAGAGCAATTGCCTTACATTAAGTACATTGAAATTACCTTACATGTCCTCCAGGTTTTCATTTAAAAAGAAAAAAAATACTGGCAGAACAAGATTGCTGCATCATATTGTGTGTAATATGCCCTGCATCTACAATTGAAGAAGAAAGACTAATTTTAAAAAACCTCTCACTTCAAGTAGAATGGGTCTAAGTGTCAAGTCCTATATGTCCTCATCCAGAAGTATTAAACAGGTCACTTAAATAATACTAACATGGTGCTACATGCAAAATGCTTACAGCTAATCACTATTAATGTCATCACATAGTCAACAAACTGAATTCCCCTGTTAATGTATTTTCCTACCTGCAAAGGGAACTGGGGCATCCTTATCCAAAGCAACAAGGGGAGGATCCAAAATGACAGTGTCATTGTTTTCAGTAATGACCCCATGGTACGAAGTTTCAATCCATGGCTTGTGCTTGTTTACTGGAAAACAAAATACAGAATCTTCAGTTAGGATGAAGCAATTATGCTCAAACTGTTTAACAGAAAGTGGTTTTTTAGTATATAATTCATTACAATATTAATGGTACTATTTGATAACAAAAAAATATTATATAAACATCAAAAGAATTAAACCTTCAGCACCTTCAAGACACATTTGGGTGCTTATCTTGCTGGGATTCTATGATCCCTGCTGACTTCCTGCCCCTAGGCAGGGGGCTGGACTTGATGATCCTTCAGGGTCCCTTCCAGCCCAAATGTCTATGAAATCTATGAAAAACTGTACAACATACATGATGCAGATTTTATACCCAGTTTACTGGAGGGAAAGTTGAAGATCTGGGACATTCTCAAACAGATTTTCATAAGAATCCATTGCCAATTTAGACACACTAAATAAATGGCCAGAATTTCAGAGTATTTTTGAAAACCTGGCCAGAAATATCACCATAGGAGCTGCTGACCACATGAAAAGGAAGGCCATGAGTCTGCAGACAAGGGTAAATGCAGGGCATCCAGTAGAGTTTTGCCACTTCCTGGGCAAGTTCTCCAACAACTCATCTGTAATATAGCCGTTCCTCATCTGTAATATAGCCGTAATCCTGAGCTCTGCTCAGTCCTTTCACAGACTAGTTGGAGGTACCTACACTCAGGGAAGGGTTTGAGGCTCTGGATCCCAAGTGGACAGAAACATCTAAACCCCAGAGCAGTGGGGATTCAGAATAGCCCTCTATTAAGTATTTTCTATCAGCTAGTTCTAGGCAGCTCCTCACTTCGCATTTTTCCCTGAGATGCTCAAGTACCTTCAGGGAGTATATTATTAGTCTAGGTATTTACTTCTGGATTCCAGGGCTAGATACCTAGAATTTGGATGCTGCCACACATAGTGGGCAGGTGTCAACATCCTTAATTGGACATATTTGAATCACAACGTTCATCTTTCTAATAGCAAATGTTACTCCAAAAAAATTATATAATTATGGTTTAAAAATCACCAAACAACTGAAATTGCTTATGTTGACTACTGGAGGGCTTTGAGAGGTGCCCATTCCATTCTTGTCAGAAAAGGATTTTAAAAAAGAAATCAAATAGTTTTATTTGATCTCTTTCTGACTACTTTTTCCCATCCAGATTCCCACTTGAAGCTTTGAGCAACACATGATCATTTAATCTTTCCTTCCTGTTGTCCCAACCTTTGAAGCAGTACATTTCTCCTCTACGATCATTTTGTACTGCATTTTCTTTTAAATACACCACTATTATTAAAGGTCCTACAATAGAACTCAGCTAGCAACTGTCTCTCCTCAACCACCTTAGTTATCACCTCACCTGTTCTCTATGATTTGCTGCATGCAATTTAAACAATGTGTCCTCTAGCCTCCAGTTTTCTAGATCAGGTCCTCCTGAACAACACTGAATAACTGAGTTTTGACTATAAACAACCAAAAGGGCTTCCAATTGAGCTTTCTATCTGAGTCCAAACATTCAATGCCTCAATGGCTGTAGCTTCTGCCAGACAGCAACAGACAATAACTGCTACTGACTACCTACCACTTCAGCAAGGGAACATTTGTGTCAGGGTGATAGCCCTTAGCCTTTCTCCAACCAAGAAGTACCCACAAGGCAGTGGAGGGTAGGGTTTGTAAGTATCCTATACTCGCCTTACTCTGGAGGTTGCAACACTGTTGTATTTTATAGGAGCTACCTCATCACAAGTAGCTCCACCGCATTGCCACCAGGCCCTCCAGTTGGATGCAATTTACAGTCATACTCAGGGAATTCTGTGCATCCTATAAAATTGACAGATCATACAAATTACTTATCCGTGCTGATGCAATGTACCTACTCTTATAGGTGGCACTATTAGGTTATGCTACTGTAACAAACATTTTGTATTAATACTGGCAAAAAGAGGACAACAAGAAAGAGAGAGAAAAGACTAATAAGGCTGAGAATATGAAAATAACATTTTCATTAATAACTGCAGACAATACAATTCAGTATACAAGCTGGAAAAAGACTGAGAGCATGGTTTTTCCTCATTTAGATAACAAGTTGGCCTCGCGTTTGAGACTAATTAAGTGTAATGGCATTAAATTTGTGTGATCTGGTCCCAGGGGATTTTAGCAGAATGTGACAGAAACCCCATGAAATCAACTGACCTTCTCATCAACTATTTTCCTGAGAGCCCTGCCATGACGGAACACACCAAAGCCAGACCATAAAAACAGACCTTACCTGATCCTGAATTTAATACAAAACCTGTTTTTCTGAGAAACTTGACTCTAATACATACATACAGATCTGCATCCAATTTTTGGACACTTATAACATTAAGGCTGTATAGCTGATGGCACAGAAAGACAGAATCTATAAATCAAAGGGAGTTTTAATGCTGCTGCATTGCGTCACTATATCCTTTAAGCTGTGTTTTTTTATGAGACTCATATTTTGATCCAGGTATCCAGGTTGTAGTTGGTCTAGAGTCAAAAAGAATCAGAACTCATGGTAGAGGTGATATCTTTTATTAGACCAAATACGTTTCTACAAAAAAATATCTTTATTTGCAAGCATTCAGGTACAAGCACCCTTTTTCAGGCGTAGAAGAAAAGAGTATAAAAGTTCTCCTAGGTAGAAATGAAAGTTCGTATTTCATAGAAGAGTTGAAGGTGTGGCAAAATCTCCTGTTTGGAACAGTTCATTTTAGGCAGATTACCTGGATACAGATAACCCTGGTACCCAACACATGGAAGATACTGAACTTTAGCTGATTTTTTTTTAATAAACTCTTCATAATTTTATACGAAGGAAGCAAGTTTTACCACCTTGTACTTGAAAGTACCACTTGGTGCTTGTGTCCAAAAGCTTGCAAATAAAGACCTTTTTTTTTGCAAAAATCAAGTTGGTCTAATCACTTCTACCATGATATTTTGATCCATACATTTAACCAGGACAAAGGCACTTTTGATCCATACATTTAACCAGGAAAAAGGCACTTTGCAATAATATGTGCTATCTTTTTCAGCAGGAACTGCTGTTAAAATCCTTTTGCTTTTCCAAAGCAGTTGTGATTTTAACACTGATTTTTTTTTTTTTTTGGAATTTTAATTACAATCAAGAGGAAAAAGGGGAACAAATGTCTATTTTAAGATGCCTCACTACTGTTTGAAATTAGCAAATTATTTCCAAGAAGTAGTAAAAAATATATATCTCCGGCGTCCATCTACCAAAAGTGGAAAGGAGAAAGCTTCCCAACTTCCAGTCTTGCAAAATGTACTGTCAGAAATCATCAACATGGAGAACTCCTGCCGCCAAAACTACAAATAGGCTACTTTGACCACGTAAAAACAAAGATATGAAAAGAAAACTCTGGCACCTATAGATGTAGTCGGTTCTAGCATGCAATTATAACAATCCTAAAATGCCTTAAAAAGATGCCAAATTATATTTTCAATCTTTACCTTTATAAGAAAATCTCAGAAAATATTTCTAATTAAATTACATGCAAAGGCATGAAGATTAAATTTTCCTATTAAAGGTCTAACTGGCTAGCACTGAAATCAATACTGTAATTTCTGAATTCATACCTGTACTCAATTATAAGCCATAGAAGTATTATAGCTATGTTCAGTTTTTTTTCTTGCCCTTCCTTCTATTACTCTATTACCAGAATAAAAGTGTAATGTAAATAATTTGCAGCACTTATGGTAAAACAATTAATCGTTTTCCTTAATTATAATAAGGGATTGATTCATTAACAATTGTATGCACCATTTACACTGCATTTTCATATTCTGCACCTGAAGAGTTCACAATTACAAAGCCTTGATTCCAATAAACCCAAAAAACTGCCACCCTCTGTTGTCAATTCAAAGTGCATTCAACATGCAAAGTATGCAAGTGAAAAAAGGAATAGCCACATTTCAAAGTTTGCAAAAACTGCTTTAGACAAAGGAATGAAGGACTAGAAGCATACTTCTGAACCATAAAATCCAGTTTGGTGCACCAGACATCCCCTCTGGACTGAAGAGTTGTAGGCACATGCCTGCAGTGGCTCAGGCTAGAAGCCAGGGTGTGCTAGAGCAGCCCTCCCTTCACTTCAACAGTGCTGAGCTGAGGGGGGTATGGCTTGGCCCAGCAGGATGCTATGATTAGGGAGGGGTTCTCCTCCTTCCCCCCCACCCCCACTGCTCCTCACCAGTGAGGGAGCCAGCAGGGAGTTGCTAACATAGTGTTAGGCAGCTCATCAAGAAAACAAAAGCTTCCCACATTATTTCAAGCTATTCTTAAACAACTTTTTCCAGGGAATGAATGGAGGGACATTAATAGCTGACCTGTTGATTAGCTGCAAAATGCCCTAAGCAGACACTGTCCTGTCTGCCTTACACAAACACCTCTCAGCATTAGCTAGCATACCACATGCTGGCTAGCTTCTGTATTGTGGGAGAGGACAGTGGGGGAATCCCTGCTTGAGCAGGGAGTGGTAAGAGGGGGCTGGGGCAGAGGGAAGCCAGGAAGACACTGCTGTGCCCGGAGTCCCTCCCAGAGCTCCAGCTAAAGAGCAGAGGGGTGGGGTCAGCCCTGCTCTGAACCAGAGAGCCTTGCCCACAGTTGCAAAGCATCTGGGATTCTGGGGGACTCTGGTTTAAGTTAAACCAGGAAGGGATCTAGGAGAGGCATTGCATTGAACTGGTTTGACCCAAATCAGGGTCATTCAACCAGGTTTATCTCAACTGGTTTCAGCCATTTTCAAACTGGTTTATGTGCACTGAATGTCTGTTCTGTTGCAGATGTAAAACAGTTTCTGATCACTTAAATCAATTTGTGTGTAATGTCTGTCCCTAGCCCATGAGAGGAGAGAATTCTGGAAAAATGAAGAGTATCCAAACGCCACAGTATCCCATGCCCCAAACCTCAGCAGAGCTCCCTGTCTTCCCAATGTTATACTCCATGATACCCTGCTACTTTCCCTGACATAAGACAGGAAACAAGCAACACACACAATTCCTTTTTAGCAATTATATGATCAGTAAATAAAGAGATAAAAAGCCTTACAGCCTGACTACACATTTAATAAATGGTGTGATAGGAACCAGCTACAAAGTTAGTGTATATTTTTTGTCCAATAACCTTGTGCCTTATTCCTTACTTTATCACACCATTAATTGCATGAACATGTCACTGGGTAACAACTTTATAAAAGATGCGATTAACTGGTTAATCATATTTTACCTGTAACGTGGGCCAAGGGCCTTAGAGAAACATGGTGACATCAAAACCTGGTAAATTCAGTGTTATTATTTAAAGTTATTTATTGTAAAATTTAGAGCTTTGAAAAAAGCATAAAGAAGGCATCATCCCTGCTCTAAAAATTCTCAAATTTTCATATAGTCATCACGTGTCCTGGCTTGAATGTCTTATTTCAGGCAACAGGTACCTAGGCTCCATTTTCCCTGTGGTTAACCAAGTCCACAGAAGAAGACCTATTTAATACATTCCAAATCAGTCACATACCATTCCATCTCTTCTCTGAAATTTTGAAGCTAAATGGAGCTAAAGGTGCTATGTACAGAAGTCTCCTAAAACCAGACAATGACAATATACATTTGAAAAAAGCAAAAAGATACAGAGTTTTCAAACCTAAGTTTCAAAACTAGGAAGTATAAGACAGGCTGTAAATTGTTAGACAGGAACACACTGTTTAATCTTCATTAGCTCAATATTTAATATTTTCCACTAATGGAGAAATCAATTTTCCTTTCATTTCTTTAAAGAATGAA